GACACATTTAACCCCGGTTTTATTCCTCCTTGTTTAATGATGCAGGGTTATTGAGTATTAGTATCTGGAGATATTATACGTATCACATTACAGAGGTTACGATTATAGCCCTCAGTTCACCTTTACAACACTGCTGCCGAGTGGTTGGGGGTTTAAATACAAAGATCAATAGTACGTTTTTGAGAATCGATGTCACAAAACAAAGTACTACGATTCAATATTTTATGATATTTTGTTTTATGATATTGTATGGATTCTCAAAAAACACTAAGTGTTTGTGTTCAAACCGTGAACAGCTACATAGCATAAAATAAATAACAAAATAACAATATATCTCAGTTTATTGAATCGTATGTATCATGATACTTGCTACAGATGTTTGTTAATACGCAGCCCTATAAAATAAAATAAAGATTATTTCCAGGATATTTTGTAATTTTATTCAATCTCCAGATGTTTCTGTTGTAATACATTAGTGGATACGGTTAAAATGACGTTAAAATGACACAACTGACCTAAAACAAGTGTGTATGAGGGCGAGAGAGACTTTAAGTTGATTTATGGATAATGCGGTTGATGTTTATTGTAGCATTTGTTCATTTTCTTGCTTTTCTGATCATGAAAGCAGGTACATGCCCTTATTAAACCTACACAAGTTTTCACTAGACCTCTCTTCAGGAGCGTGCTTGAATGACCTGTCACACCAGTTTATTAAGTAGTTAAAACTAAAGCAGCATGTTACAATCCTCCTGTCTCGAAGGTGACAGAGTTCAGTTTTTTGTTGAGGTGTTGAGTCATCTGTGTGATCACTCTGGAGGATGTTTGAGTCACGTAATTCCCCTCATGTTCCCCACAAAGTGAGATCAGGTCTTTAATCAGACTTATATTAGTGTGTGTTTAAATCTGATTTCCACCTGTTAATAATATAATAGTATTAATAATTCACTGGGTATTTTGGGGGGGAAACCCTAACATGAATATATGCATTTTTAATATTGAGAATATTTAAGCTTTCAGCGCTTTCCTTTCACACATTTGTGCCCCAGATCTGTCTCTCAGTCTTCCGTTGTGATTGGGGGCTGCTTTCATACGTGGTCTTCAACCCAGACACAGAATGTGTGATTACAGTCTCAACCGTCATTTTGTATTCGTGCACCATTTACCGCTCGCAGAGGAAGTTACGAGTCGACAGGTGACCTTTTGATTCATGAAATTCTGAATGAAACCTGTTTGTGTTTCCACCGCTGATCTCACATCTGCACATAAATCACCACCGCTGCTCTTCAGAAAGCCGTAATCCAACGTTTTGGCTTTGTTTTGCCCATTTTATTTATTTTTTTCCTCAAATTTGCAGCTGTCACTGTGCACATTAACATTTAAATGACACCTTTCAGTACAATAGTGTTTTTCATTTTGATGTGTTCACTGCCAGATCTTACTTTTCTTTTGTACTTGCAGTCTGATCTCAGCCAGAAATCTGAATTGAGCGTTAATGTTTGCAGTGTGACTGAAGCCATAAAGGCCTCACAGGCTTTTCCAGTAAAACACTGAATACTTGAATTTTTTCTCACCTCCTTTACATAAAAATGCTTAAATTCATTGTTAAAATACTTCACATCTGCAGTTTTAATGAACCAATCCAGTGTTTCCAGTGAGTGTCTTTGTGCGTACTCATGCGTGCAGTTCTCTGGTGTCAGCAGCAACGAAGTGGCACACAATTAATAATGTACAGCAACAACAGCCTGCTCACTTTCCACACTTTGATTGTTTGCTCTGTGTTTTTGTCTCTTTGCAGCCATCAAGGAGAAATACAGCGACTGGACAGAGTTCCTCGTCCAGGACCTGACCGGCTCCAGGACGGCACCGGCCAACCTGCTGGAGGGGGTGAGTCCTTTTATACTTAAAGAGCCATTTGTCTTATTGAGCCCTCTTTTTATTGATTTGATTTATTTGAAATATTGGCCCACACTTCATTACTGGATGTTAGGAGTCAGATCCAGCTGTTTTCTGAAGGCCAGTGCCAACATTCTTACACTAAAACTGCCCAAACAGGATATTAAGTGGTGATAACTAGGGCTGCAACCATGTTTATTATGCTTATTATTTTGTGGTTAATTTCTTAATAGTTTGGTTAATAAAATGACAGATAATAGTCCAGCATACCATCTTGAAACTGCTTGCTTTTTCCGACCGGCAGTCAAAACTCAAATATATTAAATTTATTGTCATGGAAGACTGAAAAATAGCAAAAGAAATTACATTTGGAAGCAGCATGTATTGTCAAGGAAAAACTCCTGGGGAATGGTTGGAAGAGTGGGCTCACTGACAGAAAGTAAGAGGCAGAACTCGGAGGAACTGTTCGATATGTTTTGTATATGGTTGTAATGACTCATTACAGTTCCCCTGTGAGAAAATAGAGGAAGGATTCATACAAAGGGAATATTTAACTGTTAGGTCACTGCAATAAGAACCGTTTCCTGACTGTTGAACTAACCAGACTCAATAAACGTTCACTTTCTGATTGCAACATTTGGGGCATTTGGGGCCTTTTATTTAAAAAAAAGATGACATGAAGTGAGGAGAGCAAGATGGGGAATAATGTGCAACAAAGGAACCGCGGTGGGCTAATTTTTCTGTATGTTATGTCAATGTTAATTATACGTGCACCATACTTTCCCTTTCAGGAGGTTACATTTTCTGTAAAATACAATAAATTCTACTTAATTTGAACTGTTACTTACAAGCTGCAGCCACTGGAAAGTCCCATAAACGCTGACCACCTTAATGGCCTACTGGTAAATTATATGACCGTTTGTGAGCAGGTTCTGTCCTGTATTGTCAAGAAAACTCCTGGAAAATGTCCTGGAAAGTTCCTGTAAAATGATTTCTTAAAATGTAGTTCCCAAGCTCTCCCGCTGTGGTTTAACCGATGAGATGAGTTCTGAATGAATAACTGTGTCTCCGTCAGCCTCTGAGAGGGAAGAACACAGTGGATCTGATTGTCGACGGCTCCGTCTTGGAGCTTCAGGACATCTCGGACCCGTTCCTTTACTGGCCCGTCCGAGTCATCCAGAACGTGGGAGGGAGGCTCCGCCTGCGCTACGCCGGTCTCTCTGACGACCAGCACGATGAGGACGCCTGGCTGTTCTACCTGGATGTCCGGCTCCGCCCGCTCGGCTGGGCTCTGGAGAACCGTCTCGCCTTAGAGCCGCCAACAGGTGATAATCTGCTTTTTATTTACTTCGCCAAACATTATTATGTGTGTGAGAAACCTAATAATACTTAAGGATCATGTTTTCCTCTTTAGCCCTCTTTATTGATTGATTTATGTGAAATATTGGCCCACACTTTATCACGAGATGTTAAGAGTCTAAAACTGCTCTAACTGGATATTAACTGGTGATATTAACTAGTACTGCAACAATTCTTCATAGTTTGGTTAATAAAATGACAGTAAATAGTCCAACATACCGTCTTAAAATTGCTTGTGTTGCAGTCAAAACTCAAATATATTGAATTTGCTGTCATGGAAGACTGAAAAAATAGCAGAAAAACTGTAAATCTTCTTTTTAAAAGCATTTTTTACTTACTTAAATGACAATAAGCACAACTGTTGCTAATTAATTTTCTGTCAATCCAAAAGAAAGTAAGAGGAAGACAAATCAGTATCATGTTGCAGTTATTTCGGCATCTTTTTGATCCATTTATTGACATTAAATCACAGCAAAATCTGTTTATTATGGGCTCATACTGCCGCAGTAAACCAGATTAAAGGGTGAATATTCTCTTTGTGTTCCTCGTGTGAGCAACATGAGTAAATTCAAATGATCCTGTGAGTAAACAAGCAGGAACACACCAGTTACCGGTGTCAGTTACATGATGACATTGGATCCTAAAAAACGGACTTTCTGTATCCTTTGTCCCCAGTGCTCAGGTCTCTGAAGAGCCCCCCCGACTGGCAGCAGGCTCTGGAGGACGCTCAAAACGACGGACAGAAGAACCCGCTGCCGCTTGAGGTGTTCAAGGTGAGTTGCTGCAGTTTACACACATTTCTGCTCCTCACACAGTGTGTGTGTGTGTGTGCTGTTGGCACGCAGCCAGACTGCCGACCGGGGGGGGAGGAGTTGTGTTTTCCTCACTCCTACCTCTACTGTCTGCGGCTGGTTTATGATTAAACTGAGTGAATAAATACAATATTTTACAGGTCTGTGAGTACTAATCAGTTTCTAGCAAGTTTCCTTGAAAGAATTTTGGTCATTTGGTGGCAATTTTAGGAAGAATAGTAATGTCCTTGACAGAAACACTCAATTAAAACCCGAGTAAATATTGATTTATTCTCCCTATGCTGTATATTGAATCAAATAGTTGCTTAAACGTACAGTCTGTAGTTTCAAACACTGGGGTCTCTCTCACATCCAAACAATAAGAAAATATGAAGTGTGATGAGGTGGTGAAGCAGCGTGGGATCATGGGAGTTGTTGTCTTCACCACCTTTGGCATCATTACAGTCAGCTTCTCCCGGTTAGGATTCCTTCAGTGTTCATGGTTCAGGAGGTTTCTACCGGGAGCCGAATTATCCACAGAGGTCTCCTCCTCTCCAAATCTGTCATTTTATGACGCCATCGACACTCTGAGTTTGAAACATGTTGGAAACAAGAACTCAACTACATATAGAACATAGCCAGAGCTTTGGTACAGATTGGAGCTTTAATAAAGTTTCTATAATTGGTTTGTTTAACCAGCACTGTGACCACTCCTAAATAAAACTAACCACTTCTTCTTCCTCCTTCTATTCTTTCTACAGTAACTGCAAACACAAGATGTCCTGCATGACAGAGATTTTAATTTAGTTATAGAAATGACATGCTGTACTGTACCAGACTGTTGGCAGTCAAAGCTGAAGGAAATACAAAAAAAATGATTTTAGATCACAGCTCAACATTTTTTCACATTCTCAGGGAAACAATTATTTAAATAAGGACAAATCTTGTCTTTGTAATGTCCTTTTTTGTTGCAGCACTGTGAGCTTTTTCTGGCAGTTTTAGTGATTCTTTATCACACTGTGTTATGTAACAACAGTCTCGTAGTGGTAGAAATTCTTGGTGTTACACTTGAATGTGAATAAGTTCTATTTATTCCTGTCGGTTGGACCATGTTTTGGTCAGAATTTGTCCTCATTTTATTCTTGTTATTGCTTTTTCTTTCTCTCACATCCACCACAGCACAGAAATTAATCAGGAAAATGAATTATGCATTGTAGGAAGAAGATTCAGTTAAAACTTGTTAGAACAAAACCGGCGGCACCTTTAAGGCTCGCCTGCTGTCTCAGACTGTAGGGAATACTAACAAATAGAAACGTAAAGCAGTTTGATTTGATGGAGTGGATCGCCCTGCTAATGCAAATTGTGCTTGAATTTCTGTGTATGAATGAAGCTGCATGAGCGTTTTATTTAAAAGGAGGATTTATATATTTAAAAAGGGTTAATAACTAAAGATCCTATCCTTATATAATCTATATTAGTTCAGGTTTCACAATTTTAAAATACCTTCCTAATAGTTCTAGAAGTTTTCTAGAACTTTGTAATCTGGTGATAATTATGGAGAAAAACGGACACAGTCAATTAGTACAGTTTCAATTAACTGTGAGTTTAACCTGGAAGCTCTGAGTGCACAGCAGGTTAGCCACACACATCCTCATTAAACAGTGTATAAGCTCTATGTTCTATATGTAGTTGAGTTCTTACATTATCCCAAATGTTTCCTAAATGGTACGCTCATCAAATCTGAGGAAAACAGCAATGATTAATATTTACTTTGGCTTAATGATCGCCACCAATCTGACACCACACATCATTAACTGCTGAAGTGGGAACGCCGCTCTGCCCCCCGGCGGGGTGGGCATGACCTACATTGTCTTGCGTGTGTGTGCGTTAAACAAAAGTGGAGCACATTTGTTTAAAAGTCTTGACTTTACTGTGTCAGGACCACGTAGACCTGCCCAAGCACTCCTTCAAGACGGGGATGAAGCTGGAGATGGTTTCTCCGTGGGAGCAGCTCCAGATCTGCCCTGTTTCTGTCACCAAGGTGAGTCTCGCTGAGAACAATGTCTTATCTGAGGGAAATGAAGTGGGCTCCTCCCTCGAGCATTCCTCAGCTGCCTCTATTAATGCACTTTGGATTTTTAACATGTTTCTGCCGAGAATGCAGCCTTGTTCCTCTGGTTTTTGGATTCCAGCAACTGGAAGTTCTTGATTTCTATTTTATCTCATTTGTCACCCAGTAAGTAAGGTTTTTTTACACTGATCTACACTGTGCTGTATGTGTAAAGACTGTACAGACATACGTCTTACATGATAAGTAGACTCACTATGATGAACTGGTGTGGGTCAGCGTCCCTGCACTACAGTTTAGTGATATTTTATAAATAAAAGAAAATGTTTGATCAAATGATGATATAACCTTTGTTTTCTCTTCAGGTGTACGATGAGATCTACTTCCAGGTAACGCTGGACGATCTCACTGTCGCCCCCAAGCCGCAGTTCGTGGTGTGTCACGCCAACTCGCCCGGCATCCTGCCGGTCCAGTGGTGTCTGAAGAACGGCGTGGGTCTGGAGCGGCCCTGGGGGTACGAGGGCCAGGACTTCGACTGGGCCGACTACCTGAAGCAGAGCGGGACAGAGGCGGCCCCCGACGCCTGCTTCCCCGACGTAAGTCCTGATTCGTATTTATAAAACGGAGATCCATTTTGATCTTCAGTATGATTCAAGCAGCGTCAGTAGTTAGCTTTGAATCATGATCAATAAAGCTCCTTTTTCTCTGTGAAGCTCAGTTTTCTACACTGTTATATATAAAAACATTCATTTATTAAGCTCCCTGTCAGAAATGATCCTAAGGCTGTCCAAGTATAAATCTAAAAGATTTCTATAAATGAGGCCCTTTCTATCACATTATCACATTATCTGACATGCCTCCAGATTTATATCCGATTGCAACCAAGGTTTTATTTGACCCTTCTGGCACCTGTCACGCAGCGAACCTGAAAAATCACTTGTTCATGTACCTTGTATGGTGGCCTGCAAGGACAAAATCAGGGTTAAATCGGTGTGAATATCTCGTAATGTGAGTGCAGCTTCGGGTTATCTCAGGTTAGATCGTTGCCCTGAATGATAAGATAGATAAACTCAACCTCTCTCTACCCTCTCTCTGCCTTACCCTTTCCTCTCCTGGTGTGTGTGTGTGTGTGTGTGTGTGTGTGTGTGTGTGTGTGCGCGCTCCAGACATGGCAGGACAGAGGCTTTCCAAGGACATGTGGCTGGAGGCATTGTGAACCCTCACCGCAGCGGAGGTGTGTGTGGAACTCAGAGTCCACTCTATCATGGTCACCTGATGGACCGACTGGCTGTGGCTCCGGCTGGGAAGTGAGTACGACATTTAATTGGCGTTGTGTGTGTGTGCGTTGAGGTTTAATGGTGAAGAGATTCAGTGTCAAAAAACTCAACTGCTGTGTCGTTCTCAGAGTTGAAAGTATATATAACCGGTGTGTTTGGCCTGCACTGTGTGTGTAACTTTTTTTTGTTGTGTTGGTGTGTTTGTGTAGAGCTCGCTCACCCTCCTCTCTCTCTCTGTCTAACCTGGTCTCCAGTGTGGCGAAGCCCCTGTCAGAATGCATCTACGTGGACGTCGAGTCTATGACATCTTCCGCCTGTCGGCTGTCGAGCACACTATATCCCTAACTGACCCCCACCATCCAAACCGTGTCGTAATATGTACAAAATCGTGCGTCTTTCTTCGACACACGTGACACACACACTGAAATTTTTTACAACATACTTGATTACTTCTCGCCTCAAATGCAACTCGTGTTTTCCTGCAGGCCAGATTAAGCAGAAGTAGAACCGATAGCGGTATGTCCACCATTTGCAGAAAATTGCGTAAGAACACTCTCCATAAATCAAGGTACAAAGCGTAGACAAAGATTGATAGAGTTGGAAATCAAAACCAATACATAAATAACCAAATAGATAGACATCTTAGATCTACACTTCAAAAAGACGTCTACTAAAAACCTTCAATATAGAATGCTTAAATGGAGCTTGAATGTAGTGCACGATAAACAAATTGTACTGCATTAGGATGAAAGGCAAAACATGATATATTACTTGCGTCTTATGGCCTCTGTGTATCAAAGTGAACCAACAA